TCGCAATTTACATGCAAACTGTGCAATTGGTTTTTTCCCCACATTTAATGCCCCATGCATATGTCCAAATATTTAATGTGACATTTTTGGCCAAAAATTTTTTATCTAAACAAGAGCCATGTTTAGATTCTTTTTTTTTTGCCAAAAAAGTCACATTGAATGTTTGGACACATGTATGGAGCACTAAATGTGGACGAAAAAACCAATTACACAGTTTGCATGTAAATTGCGAGACGAATCTTTTGAGCCTAATTACGTCATGATTTGACAATGTGATGGTATAGTAAACATTTGTTAATGACGGATTAATTAGGCTTAATAAATTCGTCTTGCAGTTTACAGGCGGAATTTATAATTTGTTTTATTATTAGTCTATGTTTAATACTTCAAATGTTTATCCGTATACTTATTGGCCAAGCAACTAAACACAGCCAAGGCCGAAATGCATGTGAAATGTGCCTTAAATGTTTATTATGACATCTGTGCATTAATTAGTGTTAGATGACAAGATATATAATATACTCCCTCCGTACTCGTAAAGAAAGTTGTTTAGGACAGCGATACGGTCTCCAAAACACAACTTTGACTTCTTGTTTCTACGAAAAATATTTATTGAAAAGTGATATATATGTATACTTTTATGAAAGTATTTTTCAAGACAAATCTATTTATATAATTTTTATATTTTTAAACTCAACAACTTGAGAATTATTCATGATTTATATTTTTAAGGTTTTACTTAAATATTGTCCTAAACATTACGTACTAATACTGTCCTAAACATTACGAGTACGGAGGGCGTACATAGCAGTATAGGTGGTGATGGCCGGCCGGGGGCCCGGGGCCATTGGGAGATGTAGAATGAGATGAGGTGGCAGCAGATCGACCAGCAATTGAAATGCACCGCGCGCAAATATATCTTCCATATATTTTGCACAAAAGCAGCTTAGTTGCGTGCGTGTAACCTACATATATATAGCTTGGTCTTTTAGAGTAAAGCTAGCAGCTAACCAGCAGTTGCGTGTAACGGTGCAACCTAGCTAGCTTGGTCTTTTGGAGTAGAATAGTGGCGCATCGCACCTTGATATCACGTGGTATGATTGCTAGCATATGGAGCCGAAAACTTAATCTTGCTTGGGAACAGTGATTGCACGCTCACCTGCTTGGTAAACAAACAATTAGTATCATAGGTACGAGAGGTGGTTTAAGCGACCGATAATCTATACATGATGAAAAAAATGATGGTGAGGAGAAACGAGAGGAGAGAGTGAAAGTGGGTGACTAGTTTATCGCCGACGACACACGGGCTCCAACACAAGCAAAGCAGCACCAGGTGAACTTCTACCGGCCACACAGTTGTGAGGTGGGGTTAACGTGGGGTTATGTGAAACCATGCAGGAATAGAGCTCCGCGAGCAGAAAAAAAGGTTATATCAAAATATTAAAAAATAATACATACAAATTTATGGATAAATAAGCTAAATAGCCCATTACTATACATATTATCTCTACTAATAACTATATTGCTGATGTGGATATTTTTAAACTAACAACTGGCCAAACTTGCATTGGGTGCCATCTGTCAGTTCGATCAGTTGTATGGCAGAAGAACTTGTGCCTCTGTATTCAGATACTTAGAAACATCAAAATATTAGTATAAAGCAAGTATAGAGCAAGATGGTTGAATCATTAAATAAAGGAGAAATGCAATAAACATACTCTTCCACAACTTTTTTTGTTGGAGAACAGGTCCATCTTTAAAAGAATGTTGATATGAGAAAGTTCAAGCTGAATCATGGCAGGCCATAATGCAACCACACTGTCACATCAGTAACAAAATACATCAATGGTAATCCTGGGCTTATATAATACTCCCTCCGTCCTAAAATATAGTGACTTTTAAGTGGATGGGACATATCTGAGTACTACGAATCTGGTCATGCCTTCTGTTTAGGCCCTGTTTTTTTCAGCTTGAGATTATTATAATCTAAATTATTGAGTCAGATTACTATAACCTAGATTGTTATAATCTGTAGTAGAATAAGCGGTTAGTTGTTTCTTTCCTAGATTATTAGAGCCTAGATTATTGGGTTTGCAAGTCTAAATTAAGAGGGAGTGGGGTGGCATGGTGGGTAATTTTTCACCCAATAATCTAGAAAAAGCTCACCTAAATGAGCTTATCAGATTATAATAAGCTGGGCTTCAGATTATAATAAGCTACTTTAATAAGTTGTCTGTTTCTTTCAGTTTACTCTCAATAATCTGGATTATAATAATCCCAAGCTGAAAGAAATATGGTCTTAGATTCGTAGGACTAGATTATGTTTCATCTAGCTAAAATTTATTATATTTTAAGACAGAGAGAGTAGACTATTACTGGAAGACGATTATATTACTCGATCAAAGACCGCGGCATGACTAGATCTCTTTCTAATCAATCCATCGGCACTTCGGCTACAGCTCGGGCTGCATGTAGATGTATAGGCCACAATATCTGGGTCCGATCGATGTGATTCCTCCTTTATACTGCTATATATATACACACACACACATTGATTTTACTAATCAAACTTTAGCTGCTAAACTAACACAGACGATCGACTTCACGCCGAACAGCCGAAGCACGCGTGGAGGAGAGCGAACAAACGACAATACTCTAGCCTGTCAACAAAAGCAAACGATCAAGAACCCATCAATACTCTAGTCTCTAGATAGATCGACATAATCCCTCCCGATCTGTACGTATCCGTACATGCATCGATCACATACTTAATCAGTATCGCCTAATTAATTGACGGAATTGCTAAAAAAAACTGTCACAAGTTTTTTCAACAACTTTCAAATGTAAATAGTTGTAGTATAACTATAATATAATTATACTACATTGTAACTACAGTGTAGTTGTACTATAACTATATCGTAATATCTATATAAGTTAATTATAAAGTTGTCTATATTATTTTAATACTTATATACAAGTTATATTATAGTTATAATAGAATTATATTACATTATAATATTATAATATAATAGTTAGATTTGAAAGTTTTTTCTCTTAAACAACTTGCGGTAGTTTTTTAAGGTAGTCCCATTAATTAATCAATGGAGTCGGACTAGTTAATCAGGATCAGATGAATGCAAATTATCAACTCTCATTGATCCATCGACAGGGGCGCGCGCGACTTCTTAAAATGGACGGAACACTTAGATAAAAAGATGGGCAATTTACAAATCACACAATTAATTAGACAGTGCATATATACTCGGGACATGCACAATATATATACATAGACACTTTTGCTCGACGCAAAAAAACAAGAAAGTAAAACAATGACGACACTAGATAAACACTAGTCTTACCTAGACTCTTTAGTACTTATACATGCATTAACTTACGTTACCATGCATCATGCATAAGCGATCAGAGAGATCTCGCTAGCTTATTATTAGCTCCTTCGTTTCACAATTTAAGTCATTCTAACATTTTTCACATTTATATTAATGTTAATAAATCTATACATATATATCTATCTAGATTCATTAACATATTTATTAATGTAGAAAATGTTAGAATGACTTACATTGTGAAACGGAGGGGAGTCCTATACAAATTAAGCAGCAGTACGCATGCATGTAATTAATCACAAGTTGGTGTTGCATGGACAAGTATACATGCATTTTATGTGCATCGTCATGCACGCGATTGAAGACTTGATGATCGATTTTGCAAGCTAGCTCACTCGCTAAGCTAGCGTACGTGGAGGACAAACGCTGCCGCCTCCGGGGCCATAGTTGGTGCATCCCGACGGCGACGAGCTCCTCTCGGCCGCCGCCACCGCCGGGAATTGGCTGCTTAACCCCGATTGCAGGGATCTTAATTTGCACCTGCAATATCACTACTACGAAATGGAGATGTGTGTGCCTGAGTGCCTCCTGTTGATCATGATATATATGCATGGGTTGGAATTAATCAAATTAAATGTCTTTTAAGTACTTGTAGAATATATAATTAGTATGACTATTAGTTATCAGATATACAACACTATCAAAACATTGTATGAAAATATTTAATTGCATGCAAATTTATATGTATTTGCTGATAGGTATTAATTTGCTTGCTTGCCGTCTTTTTGCGCTTTCTATTCCATGACCCAACATTTTCTGTCCGGTGGATCTCACAATGAGTTTAATCTGTTCCGATGGATCACCATGAACTTAATGTGTGCATCAAAATGCCTCGAGAGATCACACCAGCTAGCTGGCTTTCAAGTGCCTCATGTGCAGTGGCTGCATGCATGGAGAAAAAGGATTGCAAAGTTTGTAACCGCCAAGCTACAGCCGCTCAATGATCGATCTTTTAGCTCTTAATTTGAATGTCAGAAGGCAGAAGCACCGGCCGAGAAGAGTTCACGGGAAAAAGCATCAAATTAAACGGCATGTCCGCATGATATGATGAAAAGATTAGTTAGATATGATGTACTTGTTCGCATATTAATCTTGCAGTACAGTAGACACACCGACAGAGGCTAGTGCACATCACCTTTGACATTATAGAGGCTCTCCCACTCTCCATGGACCGTGCGTGAATGGTATGATGGCTTAGCACATGAGCTAACTTTGGGGGCTATATTTGATGGCATATATATTCACGCTTTAGCACAAAATCTTTGATAGAAAGTAACATAACTCATATTTTGTTGGCTAATACTCAGCTTGTTAGCCACGATTCTACCTGCATGTTACGGCGAAATTATATTTTGTTGGCTAATACTCAGCTTGTTAGCCACGATTCTACCTGCATTTATGGCAAAATTATTGTGTATCACGCCATAATTAGCCTCCGGCGGCAAAGGAATCTATTATTGACGACGGCCAAGGTACGTGACACACAATATATCCTCTATCAGTTTCGACCTAGTCAGCTTCCATATATATAGAAGGGAGCTGTGGTTGCTCACCTGATTTGCTTAAGGGTGAACAATTTGACATGCTGGTACCGTGTGTTTCAAATCATTCAGAAAAGTCATGTTTTTCTTTTCTGGCAAGCAGCAGCTTGTTAATGCCAACCAGTCAACCGATTACACAGAGAACGTACGGCTTGATTTACAGGAGGTTGCAGATTATAGCATTCTGTCTTGTTGATCAACAGATAGGACTCATACGGAAACAACATTGTAATCCTGCGATGTTTTCTGCATACTTGAATACTCTCTCCGTCCCATTATAAGTACAACCATAAGTATCCGCGCCCAATTTTGATCGTTCGTCTTATTTAAAATTTTTTTATAATTAGTATTTTTGTTGTTATGAGATGATAAAACATAAATAGTACTTTACTCGTGACTTATGTTTTTAAATTTTTTCAAAAAAATTTTAAATAAGACGGATGGTCAAAGTTGAACGCGGAAAAACATGCTGCACTTATAATAGAACGGAGGTAGTACTATGTAGTACCAATGCTGCGATAGTAATTTTTTTTAGCTCCTACGCGATCAAATGATTAGTCCTCCTCGGGATCGAAGTCCCTAACCTTCACATCTGCGTCTTCCCCATACTGGATGCAGTTGTCGATGTGCGACAGCACATACTGAATGCTGGAAAAAGAAATAAGGGACAGTTAGAGAGATGAAAAGAGAAACACACGGTACAAACAGGTATCTCAAGACAGAACATTTACAAACTTGATGTTAAGTTTTTATTTCACAAGAATATTTTGCTTCAGACTTGCGCAAGCTATAAGTTCAACCGTCGACTAATAAAACAAAAGAGTAAAATACACCAGCGATCCTTAAACTTGTCAGGAGGTTTCACTTAGGTCCACGAACTTACAAAGTGCACATCGAGGTCCCTAAACTTGGTTTATTGTATCATCCCGGTCCAAAGCCGCGTTTGACTGTGGTCTTGCCTACGTGTCACGCCACGTGGACAATGACATGGATTTTTTTTATTTTTTTATCCCTTCTTCCTTCTTTTTTCTCTTTCTTCCTTCTTTTTTTCTCGGTGGTGAGAGGCGGCACAAGGAGAAGGGCTGTCGCAGTGGTGAAAAAAAGAAGGAAGAAAGGAGAAAAAAATAAAAAAATTCCATGTCATCGTTCACGTGGCGTGCCATATAGGCAAGACCACGGTCAAACGCGGCTTTGGACCGGAATGAAACAATAAACCAAGTTTAAGGATCTTGATGTACGCTTTGCAAGTTCGTGGACCTAAGTGAAACCTCCCAACAAGTTTAAGGACCGCTGGTGTATTGTACTCAAAACAAAATGTTCACCGATGGGATGAACCACTACATACTACACCGAATGGCTGATCCCCACCTAGAATAAGGTGACTCCGTCTCCGACATAGTAGTGCTTGAAGCCAGGATATATACAGCAGACACTACCATATTTTTTTTTATAGAGTAGGATGGACATGCGTCTTCAAGAGATACAATACATGAAAAGTTGGCATGCATGCTAGTAGCATGTGTAGGGCTCATAGGGTAAAGGCTCCTGATCAGTCAAGTCCAAAAGAGTTTTGCAACAAAATAAAATAAAACCATCCACATAGGACAGAAATTCGAACTGTGAAGGACTGAGATTCTAAAGGAAAATGGCATTACCTGCTCTCTTTTCTTAAGTCAAGTGGGATGAAATTCACCATGCTGTAATCATCAACCTACATGATAGTATTAAGATTAATAATGATGACTGATAACACTACATTAGAGCAAATTATCTTTGAACAAAAGAAAACAAGGCAATGGGAAGATAGAATATGGGGTTACTATAACTTTGTAACAATCAGCTCAGACAGTCAGGCATATATTATCTAATAGTAGTTGATTCAGATGAGTATAAAAGATAAAACAACATGAGTATACCCTTATATTCGAAATGCTCGCACAACAAACAATGTTGCTAAGCCACCTGTCAGTAGCCACAGTGCCACATACACACATGCTGACACGCACACACCAAAAAAAAAACACTACAGATGATGGTGGAGATAATCTCATGAAAGTGTCGGAAAACCCAATAGAAACATCATTAAGGTAAAGGGGAATATGAAAGAATGCACCAAAAATGTTAAAATACCGCCATATTTGATTCACCACAGCTAAAATTGGTGGCATCTCTCTTCCAAATCATCAATCTAGCTAAAGCACAGAAGAGTTGCTCATGGTCCATCGTACCACAAAACGATTGCGTGATAGAACTTGAAATACCAAAAATGTTTAATCAATTTATAAGTTTATTTTATTGTTGAAAAAAAGCAAGTATCTCATCAAAATGGCATGTTTTTTATTGCCCCTTTTTTATACTTAGAATGGGCTACAGTACATTATAGCAAACCTTAATAATGTAGGCAATTTGCTTCAAAGAAATAACGATTTAAAACAAATGCTACATGTCCAGCACTGATGAATTTGTGACATCCTTAAGGCACTCATGACCAGTGTTATTAGATCCAGACTGGACTGGCGGTTTGAATCGAAAAAACCGGACCCAGTGCTTTCCCCAGTCTGGTCCAGGCTATCTGATCATTTCTGCAGCCAAGCCACTATGGACAGCAAAAACCTATCAAACCAGTTGGTTTTTTCGTGACTCGGTGAGAGAACCAAGCCCAGTGAGAACCAACTAAGCAGAATAAATAGGAAAAATAGCATGATCGTTTGGCTTTGAGCACAAGGCCTCCCTACCCTACTGAAAAAAACGCACGTAGTGGCCACCAGGCAATGCTCTTGGCTGCGAACAGCAGTGAAAGCATAGACATTTGAAATACATATGCTGCCTGGATGTATAAAGAAAAACCTACAGTTCAATTTCAACCAGTGACCCAATGACCTGAGACCTGACTGGGTCAGTCACTGGTTCTGATAACATGGCTGGCAGCCACATATTTTGACAATTACAGGCCTTTATTAAGGATTAACAATATAGAGAAGAATTTACACGTTCACGTCATGCGTACCAGTTCAGCTAATGATTTGTTTAGCTTGCCAAAATTGGGTGCCATCTGTCGGTTCAGCTGTGACAAGAGAACCTGCGCCTCTGGATTCAGATACCTAGAAACATCAAGATATTAATACAAAGCAGGATGGTTGAATCTTTAAATAAATGAGAAATGAAATAAACATACTCTTCCACATCTTTTTTGTTGGAGACCAGGTCCATCTTTGAAAGAATGTTGATATGAGGAAGTTCAAGCTGAATCATGGCAGAAAGAGAAGCCATGCAACCACTGATGTATTTTGTCACATCACTAACAAACTTAACCAAGCAAAACAAAACTCAAGTAAGACTTGTGTAGTTGTGTTTGGGCTCAGTATGTTTTCTCAAGGATAAATATATTTGGTTAGTGATCCAAGAGTCCAAACCTGTGAATCAAGAAGGTACACAGCACAAACGTTGAAATTTTTCCGTTTCAAATGTTCAACAAAGTTACGCAGAACTGGGACATGAGTGAAGAGTTCAATCTGGCCTGGAGAAACAATATGTGGTCTCTCATTGTCATGATTTTAGGTGAAGTTAAACAATCTAAAATATCTCAGAATTCCCATGCAAAGACAGGGGAAGGACATAATATCTGCATTGCTAGAGAATAACATGAGCAATAGGTCCTTGTACAAGCTTATCGCACAAGTATAATTCGTTAGATAGAGATATTGATTAATCGTTGGTCTATTAAGGCCATGTATGATAAGAATAGTAGTCAAGCTCTACGTAACCTACAACTACATTTAAAACACACAAGCATGAATAAAGAAAGTTACCTGGGCAATCAAACACAAGATAGTCATCATCCAAATAACCCTCCAGTTGCTCATCCAACCAATCATCCAAATTGTCTTCAAGGTGCCTATGGTTTTCTTAAGGAACAACTGACAGCATAAAATCCTATTAAATAATATTACCATAAATGTCCTCTCAGAGACATGATATAATACCAAGGGTTTTATATTGGATCCTAGTACACATATAACTCTACAGAACGTTCAAACAAATGAAGATTCAGCATGAATTGTAGGCTGCAAGCCTGCAAGTAATGTGAATGGATGAACTAAACATGACTAATCAAGTTTGCAGTGTTTTAACTAACAAAGTACAGAGAATTAAAAGGTGGCGGCTGTGCAAATGTCTCCTGACAGATGGATTAGCAAATTGAACATATGAAAGCATGTCATAGTTTCTAAAGTATCATATGCATATAGCAACACTACTTACTCTTGGAACATCTATATAAAACTATTTCTAATGAATGGCAAAATAGAGAGAGAAGTTAAATTATAGAATTAATAGGCATGAGCAGAACATCCCACCAACATTCATCAGCATATCAATACAGATCTGATGATTGCATGGCCATAGAGATATAATCCAGTTCTGATTTCGGGTTTAATATATATCAGGTGAGCTGTCTCATCCTACCGTTGATAGATCAAAACAAAAACGCATGGCCATAGCTGAGAGGAAAGTATAGCACTCCAGTTATAATGGCCACGCAAATAATGCCCTTGAGACCAATATGTACTAAATATCAAGAGCCCCAAGCTAGGGTGTGTTTAGTTCACACCAAAATTGGAAGTTTGGTTGAAATTGGAACGATGTGACAGTAAAGTTGGAAGTTTGTGTGTGTAGGAAAGTTTTGATGCGATGGAAAAGTTGGAAGTTTGAAGAAAAACTTTGGATCTAAACTCGGCCCTAGTTGCAGAGCAATTGCGGAAACATTGTGCTAAAAGAAAAGTTTCTACCCACAATGGCCTGATGTTGCCCCTCCAACCCACTTACTTTTGAAACACAACAACAGCACATTGCAAATAATTTACCAGAAGGGTCAGTTAATAACTTAAGTAGCCTGGAAAGAAAAGGGAAATAAAATTAAAAGACTCAATGTTAAAACAGGATACTCCATGCAATAGATAAGCCCGCCATTTGGTCCCATCCCAAGTTCCTCCATGACATCATCCAATGATATGAGCTCCCTAATATCTACAAAAAATTTAACAGAAGCCAAGTATAAGCGAGCCGATCAATATTTACACAAGCACGAGAAGATCCTTACCCGTAGAAACAGGGTAGCTGAAGTGCTCTGCAGCAGGATCGAGATTGACCATATGAATTGTCCTACCCACAGTCTCACAATGCTGATACAAACTGGAGCAATAGGTCGACTGCACAGCATAAACAATAACAGATTAGGAAAAAAAATGCAATTGGCAGCATCTCGTTTTAGCAACTCCTAAGCCCGCAAACTTGCAAAATTATGTGATAAAACAGTATCATTAGTTCATTACACAAAAAGCTATTACTCCCAATTTGACCAGAGGGAGTAGGCATCCCATGAACTACTATTAAACTAACCAAACGTCCAAACCCCAGTGAAATAAGTAATCAGCTCAAATACAATCGATAGGAATCATGTCCCCACTAAAACAGCATGGAAGCAATCCAATCAAAACTTGGATGAGTTCAAACGCAGTAGCGGAAGCACTGGGAAAACCCTAACTGAAAGGGGCCAACGACCCGAATCCTAACCATCGCCCGGATTAAACTACCAATCCCACATCACATCAACCTCTCCAAAACCCCCCAAAACTGATAGAACAAAACGAAGCGGGCGGGGTAGTCGGAGACCCACTCACCTTGCCGCTCCCGGCGGGGCCGATGACGAGCTGCGCGTACCCCATGGCGGCGGCGGAGCGACCGAGAAGAACTAGGGTTTTAGAGAGGGGAGAAGCGGGGGGAGGTAGTTTGGCTGGAGGAGGAGGAGTTCCCCGGAGCGCGCGGCGGCGGGTCAGAAGGCGGAGGAGATGGCGGCGGCGAGGTAGGCGGCGCACCAGACGACGGCGGCGAGCAGGGCCCCGATTAGCGTGGCCAGCGGCATTTTTTCTTCTTTTTTTTTTGGGTTCTTAAGGCGGTTTTGTGATGAAGCGTAGAGAAGTTGCACGATAGCGATGTTGGGCCGGCCCACCGTGGCTGAGCGGCCTAACTGAGGCCCAACTTTGGCCCAAGAACCGAAACAAACTGGGCCTAATTTCAAGCTGCTCGTCATTGCCGCCTTGCAGAGTTGCATTTCCTTTGCTCTGCTCTGCTCTCGAATGACATGGTTATAATTGGTTAATTAAGCCTTTTGGTCTGATGAAAATGTTTATGCCAAAGCTCGGGGGTTATACTTTAATGAGACCATAACAATATGCACGTTGCGTCGGTCTTCCTTATCAGATACTATGCACGTGCACTGGTTATTGACTTGTTCGCTCCAGTTTAAGAACAAAAGCACTGAGATCAGATCAGAATCTTGTCTCTAAAGATGTGCTGCCCTGTAAATGGCATATCTATGCTTGATCAAGTTCATATATATGTATGTATTATCTTACACACCAAAGTCACAAACTAGTTATCACTACCCTTGCGTAGAAGAGTTCGAAAACAAACTGAATCGAAGTAAAGAACGAATCAAACTGAAACAAACTAAAGGATCATCAAACACTAGCAAAGCGTTTTCGTTATGGAAGGCCCTCGCGCTGTTTGGAATTAATTCGTCAGGAGATCGAGCAGGCGGCGAACCCAGCAAGCCGGCGCCGGGGGGGTCAGCGCGGCGACGGCGGCGCGCAGGTGATGTGGACGTTGTTGGAGTGGCACGACGCGCCCGCGCCGTCGGTGGCGGCGTCCACCAGAAGCCGCCGCGCCGAGTGCCTCGGCACCTGCGCCGCGTCGTCCCCCATCCCTGTAGCCGCCGGCGAGGGCGGCGACGGCGGCGCCGCGGCGTCCGCGTCGCGGGCAGCGCCAGCGGCGATGCTCCCCGTATCCACCACCACCAGCTCCGCCGACTCCGTGGGTGATGACCCCACCGGAGAAGCCGCCGCCGCCGCCGACGATGACGATGACGAGGGCCGCCCCTGCATCACCTCGCGAGACGGCATCGCGCCGCCGGAGCTCTGGACGAGGAGAGAGGAAGTGAGCGCGAAGAAACAGAGCGACGCGTTGGTGCACCGTACCATTTGCACGGTCAGGGGCAAGGCCTAGATCAGGCGACCGGCTCTACGACGGCGGCGGCGACGGCGACGGCACTGAATCACACAAACTCGAGGCTCCGATTATTCTTTTAGAGGATTTAATTAGCTCAGCTCACGATCGATCTGTGAACGATAGCGATATAAGCTCGAACACATGCTGTCACGACCAAAACATTCAGCCCGTATTTATAGAGCGAGGGTGCGTTTGTTTGAGCGTAAAACGAGACAGATTATTAGCGTATAACATGTTAAGTATTAATTATTATATGTTAAAAAATAGATTTGTTTTTTTACAAAAATACTTATATAGAGAATTTATTTTGCACAACACACATCATTTAATAACATTTTAGGATACATATGCCATTGAAAAATGAGGAAATTGCTATTTTTGGAGTTGTTCAAAAGAACTCACTCGCAGAAAAGAAAAGAAGGAAAGAAAATATCGGGCCAAACAGCGAAGCAGCTGAGCAATGGCCACGAAGAAAGCCGCCATTTTCACCGAAGGTTAGAACGGATGCGACTCACACGCGAAAACAGTCAAACAGAGGGTGTGTTTAGTTCATATTAAATTTGAAGGTTTTATTGAAATTAGAATGATGTAATGGAAAAGTTGAAAGTTTATGTGTGTAGAAAATTTTTGATGTGATAGAAAAATTTAAATTTTAAAGAAAAAATTTGTATCTAAACACGGTCAGACAGGAGAAAGAGCGTATCACCCACGGGTGCTAGTGCTAGCTGCCAGCCAGATCACACTATCACAAGTTCACAACTACCCGCGAATCAGTTGCAGCTTCAGTCAACACACTGTGTTAGTCGGGGGGAGAACCTTGGATTGCCACGGGAAGAGAAGAAAACTTCAGGCCTCTTTTACCACGCGGAGATTTGCCCACGAATTCAACAGTAATTGAACCGCGAATCTTACCATATTCTTATGAAATTTCCGCGTTCTAATCAACTTCTAAATTAAAAGAGCCAACTCTAATGAATCAGTTTTTTTTTCTTTTTTCACTTATTCGTGTCTAGTGAGAGAGTCGATCAGCTAATTCAGACAATCTTTCCCTTGCTTCCTAGAAATTACACATGTTAGCTAGCTTTGTTGTTTCTCGCCGGGAAATGTTAGTTTGCTGTTGACTATAGCTAGCAACTAGCATGAAAAGAAAAAGAGGTAATATTGTACTCACTTAATTGGTCGATCAATGTGGTGTTGATTCTCTCTTTTATCTGCCTAACATTATCATTTTGTATCTAAGTTGGGTTAGTTTTTGTTTGTATATGGGCATCTCATGGGCATACGGCCATATGAATGCATCATGCATGGTTTCTCTTCATGGTAGTAGGTGAACTCAGATACGATCCGCGTTTGACTTTATTGGCTCCCAAGTCCTAACGTATGCCCTTTTTCCTTGGAAAAAAAAAAACAAATTCAACAAGGTCAAAGTCAAACTCGCGCAGGTTTTTTTTTTTTTACCAAACTCTCGCGCAGGTGACAGTGTGTCAGTGCCGTTTACTAATACATTTAATTCTCCATGAGCAGTTGACAAGAGACGCCTGAGCTAGAGTCTTGTCAGGAAACGGACAAGCGTTGGTGAGAGTTTGGTTTACTAGCTAGTAGTAGAAGCGTATAATGCATTTGAAAAATTCAGAGAATTAACTCTGTGATGTTGTTTGATTATGAAATTAAGGTGATCTAAATTGTAATTTGTAAGAGATCAACGAAGTACAGTTGCGTAGGATTAGAGAGGGGATGCATGCATCGCGTAGTGCACGTCATATACGACAAATTAGAGGGGTTTGCAAAAGCATTGACGGTGCCAGTAATCATCAGAGACGACGAATTCTATAAATATTAAAATAGCAGGTACCAAATTTCATACGACCACTTGGACACGCATGCAAGAATGCAACGTGCAATATGCATTGACTACTAACTATATATAGTTTAACTCATGCATGTATATACAAGAATTTGCTCGTGGCTGAGTGTCTTGACTCTTGAGTTCTTATGTTAGAAAAAAAAAATAGCAGCTGTACTTTTGGTTTAGTGTTATTACTTACTAGTATTGTTTAGAGAAAGAGATGTTAGCTCGTATGAAGATGCGCACATGCAATAAGATGCATGGATGGACTATAGTACTGTTCTTAGCACATCAGAAGAACAGTCTCTTTAACTCTCAGCGTGGTATCTTTGTGATCATATCTGCACACGTACGGCAGCAAAAAAAAAAGGTAATCAACTTTTAAAATAGAAGTTAAAAGGCATAATGTGGTATACTTGTGTTGGTTAGTGAAGTTAAAAGTCGATTTGGGGATTATTTTTTTCCCTTGCGTTCTCTTCTCTTTTTTCCTTGATGCTGCTCCTTTTACCCTGGCAGGCATGCAAACAATTTGTTTCTGGATAGCTGGGTGTCCCTGCTGAAACAAGCGTGAGCAGCATTTGGCAGGAGGTGAATAGAAATACAGAAGAGCAGTCTGAACTCTGAAATATAACGAAATGATATGGTTCATCTTTGGAAGGCAAGCAATTTGCCCACAACCAACGACCCTGCAGAAACTCTCCACAAGACCGCAACAAGAGGAAGAACAGTAGGCAACACAAAATGACGGATCGATCTATCCTCCCAATCCCCTCTCTGCAGCCTGAACTTCCAATCTTTTTTTTGAAGAAAAAAAAAAGGCTGCACTTCCTCTCAATTCTCAAAATGCAGATTCATCAGAGGTTGAAAGCTACAAGTACTGGCGCTGTTCATCAAGTAGCAATACATTACAGCAATTACAAGTTCCAAAGTATAATGGGTTTGTTCACTTCGTTGTCACTTTTAACCCTATCAAAATTTAACAATATCAAATTCAAGAACAAAAACATTGCGATCAGATGTCGTCTCCAAACTTTTGCTGACATATCTATATACTTGACCAAGTTCACATTAGTAGATACTCCCTCCATCCCATAATATAGCAACTAGGACAGGATGAGACGCTTTATAGTACAACGAATCCAGACATGCCTCTTGTCTAGATTCATTATACTGTGAAATCTCTTATCCGATCCTAATTTGTTATATTATGAGATGGAGGGAGTATTACCTTACATCAAAGATACAAAACTAATTATAACAACCCTTTGCGTAGAAGAGTCCGTAAAAACAAACTGAATCAAGAAAATAATAAATCAAACTGAAGTGAACTGTTGGGCAAAGTGGCAAACGCTAAAATGCTTAATACTCTCTCCATCCCTAAATATTTGACGCCGTTGATTTTTTTAAACATGTTTGACCGTTCGTCTTTTTAAAAAAGTTTAAGTAATTAGTATTAATTATTTTCTTATCATTTGATTCATTGTTAAATATACTACTACTACTACTTAAGTTTTTAATAAAACGAACAATCAAATATATTTAAAAAATTCAACGGCTAAATATTTAGGGACGGACAGACTATTATACTTTTTAGCAAGCATCAGGAGAGCAGGCGGCGAAAATCCAGCCGGTGACGCGGTCAGCGCGGCGACGGCGGCGCGCAGGTGATGTGGACGTTGTTGGAGTGGCACGACGCCCCCGCGCCGTCGTCCGTGGCGGCGTCCTCCCCTGCCGCCACCACCAGAAACCGCCGCGCCGAGTGCCTCGTCTCCCCCAATATAGCCGCCGGCGTCGTCGCCGGCGGCGCCGCGGCATCCGCCTCACGGCCAGCGGCGATCCCCGCGTCCACCAGCTCCTCCGTCGTTGGTGATGATCCAACGGGAGACGCCGCCGCCGCCGCCGCCGGCCGTCTCTGCATCAATTCTTCCCCTTGGGATGGCCTTGCGCCGCCGGAGCTCTGGACGAGGAGAGAGGAAGTGAGCGCGAAGAAACATAGCGACGCGTGGGTGCACCGTACCATTTG